AAGGATGAGGATCCAAATGTAACAACCTTTAATTTGTTCGAATCGTTGAAGGCCATGACGAACATTATTTCAGGTTACGCTTCCACATTTAAGGTAAATTTGAAATTGGAAATTGATTCCAAGATTAAGGACATGTTCGTTCACTCAAATTCTTCCAAACTCCACCAAATATTATTAAATTTATTGACAAACGCTGTAAAGGCTTCAAAGCAAGGTGATTCTGTATGGTTAAAAAGTAGACTATTGGAAGATTATGGAGATTCTGTAACTGTCAGATTTATTTGTGAAGATACTGGATGCGGAATTCCACAAAATTTGATTTCTTCTATTTTTGAACCATTCGTGCAATTACAAAACAGCTCACAATCCAAAGTGCCAAGTTCTGGACTCGGACTCACTACTGTTTCACATCTAATCAAATCGATGGATGGTCAAATTAGCGTTCTCTCTCAAGTCGGAAAAGGAAGTATTTTCACAGTTGATTTGCCATTCAAATTAAAACCAAGCAAGTTCCAAGAAAATAGTGATCGTAATGGTAATCCAGAAGATAGGCGATCAAAACTTCACCTTAGCGTTCATAAGAGCTATTTAACAATGATGACAGACTTGGAAAAGAATGAAAAAGAAAAGGAGAAAAAGTCAAAGTTTAATTCTAAAATATTGATTGCAGAAGATAATCCTATTAACAGAAAAGTTATTGTCAAGATGATAAATAGTTTAGGGCACGAAACAGATTATGTTTGTGATGGAAAGGAACTGGTTGAGAACTTTAATCCAAAAACTCACAAGGTTGTAATTACAGATATGGTATGTTGAAAAATCAATATTTAATGTATGCTCATCTAATTAGAATATGCCAAATATGAATGGATTGGAAGCTACTAAGGTTCTAAGAGAAAAATATGGAGATTCATTCAAGATTTATTTATTAACAGGTAATGTGACAGTCTCTTTGACAGATGTTGATGATATGGGTTTATTGGATGGCATTCTAACAAAGCCCTGTTCTAAACAAGAGCTTGAGAAATGTATTACGTAAAGTGAATTTGGCAAGTGTCAAGACCTGTCAAATTGATGAAAAAAAATGAATAGAGAAGATGTTCTTCTAATGTTGCATGATAAACCGAATGAAAATGCAAATAGCTTGTTTGAACTATTGAAAATTAGAATGATGACAAGCAAAACCTCTAAAATTTCAAATCAATTTACAAAAGTAATTCGTATTGATAATTGTAAACATGTGGAAACGCTTGGAACGCCAAATAAATATGGAAAGCCTGCACGAGGACTCAACAACAAATTCTTCTTCAATATTCCGATGGATATTACTATTTCATACAGGCACGAAACAATTTATGTTTGCGACTACAAAAATTACAAAATTCAAACATTTGATTTGGCTACCAAACAATTTATCACTTCAATTTCGACAATTCCGACGTGCTTTATCTACATTCAAGTGGATGATCAATTTGATCAATTATTTGGATTAGGATTTGATCGTTCCTTATATGTGGGAAAATTTGAGAAACCAAGTAAGGGAAGAGGTGGATTAAGTTTTGCAAGTTTGGAAAGTATAATCTTCCCATTTCTCTATCCATACAAATCTTTGAAAATTGACCACATTCTTCCATTAGTGACATTTTCAATCGTTTATGGAAAATTCAAGGCAATTCAGAATTGGAGTATTGAGAACGATGGATTTGAATATTGTAAATTTGATGCAAGTTGATTTTGATGAACAAGATCCAAGTGATGGGGACAAAGTATTGTATTTGGATGGAAGAGGCAATTTATGTATTCTTTCATTCCCTCTTGTTAAAAGTATACCCTTGTCAATTGTGAATTCAAGGAAACAAGCTCACTTTGGCCAATTTGAAACATTATTTGAGTTTACAGAAAAGATTTCAAATGTGTTCAAGATAGCAACTGAGCAATCGTCTGGGAATATATTAATTTCCATACCAATTCCTTTG